GTATGAGGAACAGGCATTGGCAGAAGGATTTCGCCATTGCTGGATATGCTATCCGGAAACCCGTCCTGAAGGGAGCCAACGTAAAAGACGTGGAGGACGTATGGAACCTCAAGTACAAGAAGAAAGTGATGACTGTTGGGAAGTCATGGAGTATACCGTGGAGTCGACCGGAGGATGTCCGAAGAAATGCTACTGGTGCGGAGTAAGGAAATGCACTCGCGAAAAGCAGGATCATACTTGGTGCGCCTGTACACCTTGTATATCGGAGTACGCGACGAAGAAGTGGAGGATGGACTACGACCAAATACAGGAACCTCCCAAGGAAAAGGAAGAATCGGATGAAGCGCGTGGATCCGGAGATCATGGATGGAATGCCGGAGTGCAGCGCCGGAGCACAGGAAAAGGAGCGCTGAGAAAGCGTGGAAAAGCAGCGATGGGAACGCCGGATATCGTACACACTGATGGAGCAAGGATGCCCATCATAAGTGAGGAAGACTACCAGCGTGGAAGCAGAGTCATCTCTGGAATGACCCAGGAAGAAAATCCGGAAGTGATGGAAATCCGTGGAAAGATGATGACCATGGAAGAGATCGGAGAAACGGTCATGGAAGGCGAATGCCTGGCAACGTATGAAGACTACTGTGAAGGACAGGGTCAAGGAAAAGGACCGGACAATGAGCCGGAACCTGGTACCCCAGACAGTACGGAAATGCGTACTATGGGACCACTTGTATATCCGTAAGACCTACGCGGAGACCACCGTTGAGGAGCAGCAGTGAGTGTAGGCCGGAGACAGAAAGAAAAGTTTCACCCTGGAACGCAACAGCGAAAGCTCAAAAGAAGGAAGAGCGCTGGTGCTAGTTTGGTGTAAGTTGTTTCACTAGGACGAAGTACTTGTTACTGTACGAACGTCAGGACATGGACGGTCTGACAAACCCCATAATTGGGGGAAGGTAAAAGGTGGGTTGCACGGAGTGTTTAACCCAGGAGCTGTGAACGCAAAGCCTATGCAGCCAGGGCAGGAGGTTTGCCCGACCGCGGAGCGTTGCACAAGTACAGCACAAGGACTTCGAGGCAGGGTGTTAAGATTTGTACATAGAACGCCCACACCTTTGGTGACCTAGGCCACGGCATATGGAATGTATAGAATGACTATGCAGCGCCTTTGGCTTAAGCAGGAAAAGCGTGAACGCTCAGGGTCTTACAGTTTAACTCTCGGACGACACAGAATGCAGAGGCTTCGGAGACACGTGCCAGCTTATCCTTCGAACCATTGATGCCACGTCGACCGGTATTTGGCAAGCCAACTTTCGTGTGAAAGAATGTCGTCACGGCCAGTCATCGTTGGCAGGTCTTTTGTGAGCAGAGTACAGTTGCCCATTCTTCATGCTTTTTCACCTGCAACGTGTTTCAGTCAGGACCAAGACCACTTGCGCTCGACGAAACAATGAGTGATCCTTTTTCAACAAATCCTTGCTGCTGACGGAGCCTGGTTTTGTTATCCTGCTGTACATGCGACTTGATGCATCGCATGATGTTTTCTGTCCACTTTTGCTTTCATTTTCTTTTCAAATTCATGTACTGTGCAGGGGGCGACGGGGTCGTTCAAGTGGCCCTCGCCAACGAAGCTCCACTTGATTCGACCAGGAAAACGTACCTGCTGAAAGTAGCTGCGCGACCTGGGTGTTTGCGTACACAGCCGGTGTGCTCCTAGTTTGTGTTGTGTTAAAAAACCAGGTTATCTCAGATTCAAGTGACAACAAAATGTACCTTGTTTTCGCATGGTTGCCGCAATCTGCATGCTTCCAGTCAAGATGGGACCACAGTTTGTCAGACATGGGCAGTGGACGACTGTACAAGTCATATTTCAAACAAGTTCAGGCTCGTTGTGTGCCGCTCAAGTTGTGTTTTATGTGCCACCGTGCCAGCCGGTGTGGCCAAGTGCACATCACAGACCGGAACTTTCAATTTGAACGCATGAAAACACGTGTATGCCGGTTAGTGGCTGATTGCTGCAGATTTGTTAGGCTGATGCTTGGGACTCCTGAGAGGATATTGCAAGTCGTCCGCTCGGAGCTCACAGCATTGAAATTACGCTGTCTTCGTCGTTCTTGATTCGCTGCAGACCCGCATGTGGACTTGCCCTTCTTCAGTTGATTGCTTTCGTACTCTTGGTCCTTGTGGGCATATTGATTTTCTTCTGTGTGATTCCGCTGTTGCTCTATGACCTGGTTGGAGTGTTCGGGTTCGCACTCGCTGTGGTCCTGCTTGTTTTCGTCCTTCTGATCCCGCCGGTGATTGCCTGTTGGCTGGTCTGTCAGCTCATCCAGCTGGTGATGTCCCAGTGTGACAAGAATCAATCGAAAGGTTTGCTCGAGTTTTACTCGTGGTTCTTCCAAATGATGACGGCGTATATGCAGAACGAGGCTACCTCCAGTTATGAGGCATTGACGTTTGACAGCACATCGCAAAGTACTGATCTTCCTTATTCAGCACTGCCGAAGCCGCTGTTCCACGCCACGAATCCACAAGGTGCCTGCATATTGGCAATTCCTATCGTGCTGATCAACCTGCTGGTCATGACCGCGTGGACGCTGCATTCGACTGAATCTGTCATGATTGGCTCTGCGGGCTAGCCTTACAGTGAAGATCCCAAATACAGCTGCCGTGGGCTTAGGTCGCAGACATGATTTCTCTAGTATATCACTGTTTTTGGTGAGCATCACCAGCTAGGTCCAGTAGCTGCTGCATGCAAATGTGCACCTGACATGGTTCAATTACTTCAAATTGGTCTGGACTGGTATCACGTTTGAACCGATGCTCCTCTGGTGGTCCTAAGGCTACCATGGTCCGAATGCCCACACTTGTGTTTCTATCCGTTTCAGGAGGTTTGGGTGTCTCACAGCCCGAGCCGACCCGGTCCAACTCCCAGAGGGATATGGTTCAGGGGCGGATATGAGCGAGCAGCCTTTCGCAGCGCTTGGGAATCTGAGGAGCTTGCTCAAGAGACCCATTACTAGTGGTAGGCTATGCTTCCATGGGCTTGCTATGTCTTACATCATCACAAGCACACAAGCAGGTACCGTTTGAGGGGCCCCGCAACCTTTACAGTGTGGACCCTCTGCTTGCCCTGTGAAAATCCACGAACGGCTGCCGTAACAAATGGTTTTGGCCGCCGCTGTTGGCACGTTCTTGCCTCGATGGGTGTGTGCGTGTGTCTGTCTGTGTGTGCGTGTGTGTGTGTGTGTGTGTGTGTGTGTTTGTGCTAGCGGTCATGCCCAAGCCGCAAGCTTTGATATGGATCCTCCACCTGACTTCTCTGCAATGATTCAGTGATCCGAGTGATCTTCGATGCTACCTGTACGGCCCAAGCCTCTACAGCCGTAAACCAGTGTACGACACTCCAGAGATACAAAGCAGGTATGCCGCTGCTCAAGTCAGATCTTCTCAGCACGGTCACCAAGGGACTGGTACAAGCAGCCACAAAAAACACACGGCCCAAAGTGCTTCGCAAAGCAAGCGCGGCAATTGTCACTCTTGGTCTCTGCCGCCTTCGACTGTCTCAAGTCTTTCGCCAGCGGTCACGGTCACGGCCCGAGGCTCAGGCATTGAAAGGTGTGGAGCCTGTGCCCCATCGCTTCTCAGATGCCTAGTGGTGGGTCATGGGCTTCGATGGAGGTTCAGTGCTTGTTCCGGTGTGTTGTTGGGGCGTACCCCGAACCTGCCAAGGCTGCAGAAATTCACAGGGCAAGACGAGGTGGTCTAAGGTATGATGCGTGGACCAGTGTTGAAGCTTCCCTTGTTTTCAAGATAGCGGGGCATGAAGTGGCAACTGTCAGACAGCGTTGACCCGCGAAGTAGGGCGGTCCCGGTAAGGCGTGGCATTCACCATGCCACGCAGCAACACTGTTGCACTGTCACCAGGCGTTTTGCCGCTCTCCCCCCTTTCGCCCAGGTGTCAACGCTCTGTTCTGAAAGATGCATTTCCCGCACTCTGATGCCAGGCCGCTTGTGATGTTGTTAGCGTTTTTAGCTGCCAGGCCCGGGACTTGGGGCCCCGTCAAGCCGTTTGACAGGCTCACGACATCTGATCATGATGCATCCTCTGCGAGAGTGCCTCGCAGAGCCGCAGGCCGGACATCCCATCACAAAAGGTGTTTAGTGAGAAGACGTCATTTTGCGTTGATGTCGCTCAGAGGCAGGTCTGTAGATTTCAAATTTGATCCGCAGACCAAACTATTGAAGGTCAGGGCCAGAAATGCATCCTTGGCGTGCCCCCAAGGCTGTTGTATCAGTACGGTATGGACTGCAAGCTGTTGGTAGTTTTGAAGACGGCCAGTGCTGTGAAGCCACAATCATGCGAACGCAATTTGATGCCAGTCCTTTTTGAGTTTGGTTTCTCATCGAGGAACTGAAAACTGCCAGTCCCGAGCTCCTGCAGGAAACGTCGGAAGGCTGGGTTTCGGCCAGCCGTGGGGCATCGCCGATGTATTGGAAACGTTCCAGGTCGATACTTTGACCTCGTCCAGCGGCTATCTTTATTGGAGAAGTTCGAATGCACAAGCGACCTTCGAGCTTGAACCTCACCATCCGGGTCGCACGTCGGTTTCATGGACTTGCACTGAATTGCCCGCTTCTGTTGGTCAAGGTGCAGAACATGGTCCGCACCTAGGCGCTTAGCTGTGCCCATGAGACACTCCACAACCCCTACACAGCGTGGGCCTGCTCTACATACCACTGCACCGAGCTTATGATGCGCAGGCCTCTGCGCTGCGGCCCGAGGTGGTGCCGAGGCGCTTGGATGCGCCTGGCTGCCCTGAGCCCAGATTAAGCTGAGGCTGTTAACCTGACATCGCGTTGCAGCAAGACTCAGTTTCCTCCCGACGGCGGTGAAGCGTGAGATGCTTACCAGACAGTTGCAAGCTGGAAGCTGCTGGTGAGATGACACACAAGCCAGCACCAAGTTCCGGCTCCGCCGCCTCAAGCTTGGACCTCGAGAAATGCAGGGAAGACCAGCCCCTGCTGGTAGCAGAGTCACGAGTGAACCAACAACTGCCGGCGGCTCGACCGCAACTTCCTCTAGCAGCGGCTACACTGGAGGAGCACTGTTCCTTGGAAGCAAGGCTTACTGAGCATTGCCATGTGCCCAGGCTCACACTTGTCACAGGCTTGCACTTGACTTGTCACTGACCACGACAACTCAGTGTTCAGCTGAGGTACACCATGGCAAAACCAGAGTACCAACGGCTCAGCGTATTTCGTCTTTGCAGATGCCTCCGCAACAAGGTAGACCGAGGTTGGGTTCCGAGAGCACAGGTGCTCATGTGCTCATGCGGTTTGTTGATGCTTGAACTCTGTCGCCTTCAGCAGAGGTTGTGTGAGTTTATATGGAGTGGTGGCAGTTGGGCACAGCGACGATATCGACAGCGATAGCGCAGCCTGGCACAGAGTTGTGGAACGCTACAGAGCAGTCAGTGCTCAATGCTTGAGCCGATTTCACCCAGAACCGAGGCGATGGCCCAAAGAAGGCAGTGGCTTGCCGGAAGGCACAGTCACTTGCGCTTCCTTCAGCGAGTGGTGGGGCACCTGGATCGGGAAAGCATCGCTCACGGGCACTTGCATGTTAAATTGCCTTCATGCTCTTTCTTAAATGCCCTTCGCACTTGCATGACCGCAAGCACACTACCATGCACTGGCGCTGATAAGCAGCCAGGACTTCCAAGAACACTACTACATGAACATCGATTGACCTTCGTTCTTTGCAATTCGTGGGGTAACCAGCCAGCGGCAGCGCTCGCGACTACTTTCTCGCGACCTTTCTCAGGTTTGGTGGGGTAGCCCCCCAGCGGTAGCGCTCGCCAAGTTATTCCAACGATTTTGCTGTTGTTTAGGGGGTTGCCTCCCAGCGCTAGCTGGCTTTTCTTTTTATCGCGCGTTTCATTTCCTTTCGTTGGCTTGCTTCCCAGCTGTCGCGGCGCTCGAGTTTTTTTCCAACGACTTTTCTCTCGTTTCGTGGGGTAGTTCCCAAACGGTAATTGACCCTTGTTCTTTTCTATTCGTGCGGTAGCACCCCAGCGGTAATGCGCACGACTTTCTGGCAACTTTTCTCAGATTTAGTTGGGAAGCCCCCCCAGCGGTAGCGCTCGCCTAGTTATTCCAGCGATTTTGCTGTATTTTGCTGTTGTTTCGTGGGTCGCCTCCCAGCGGTACTTTCGCTTATCTTCTTCTCGCGTCTTTTCTTACCTTTCATGGGGTGGCTTCCTAGCGGTCGCAGCGCTCGCGTTTTTTTTTTAAACACGACTTTTCTCTCGTTTCACGGGGGAGCTCCCCAGAGGTCGATAGACCGTTGTTCTTTCCTATTTGTGGGGTAGCCTCCCAGCTACAGCGCTCGCGAGTTTTTTCTACTACTCTTTTTATCAGATTTAGTGGGGTCATCCCCTCACCGGTGGCACTCGCAGATTTTTCCAGCGACTTTGCTGTTGTTTCGTGGATCGCCTCCCAGCGGTAATTAGCTTTCGCTTTTCTTTTTCTCGAGGTAGCTTCCCAGCGGTAGTGGTGTTCGGTTTTGTTTTTAACGATTTTTCTCCCGTATAGTGGAGTGCTCCCCGCCGATCGATTGACCCTTGTTCGTGGGCGGGGCCGTGCATTGCACACGCTTGCGCATTCGTGAAGAATTGAGTCTCTAGGGAATGGCTGCAGAATAAGCGGACAAGTATAAGCCATGTGTCCGCTGATGCTCGTGATGCGTGCTCGTGGGAGGGGCCGTTCATTGCGCACTAGTCATCGGAGAGCCCTACGAGGCAGGCAAACTTCGGCCTGCGACGCTAGCTGGCGGAATCAGCTCCTCTCGGAGATCCACCAGCACCCTGCAAATGCTGTCGGAAACATGATACGGCCACCTGGGAAAAGCCGCGGAAACGAGGTCTCCACTTGCAAAAGCCGGCGCTGTGGGAACGCGCCCGTGTACGCCTCCAAAGAGTGGTTGGACTTGTCGCTGCAGTGCTCTGCCTGCTTTGCCCTCCTCTTCCGCGCGGCTGAGCCAGGCAGCAGGATGCCAAAGTGAAGAGCGAGCCAACTCCTTCTGGGAACTGGCTGTTTGGCAGGCTGCGCCATGGCAGTGACTTGGAGCCGGTTGCGCTCCAGAAAAAAACGGGTGCACGTATTGGAGCTATCAGGTGCGCTCTGCATGCACAATAACACTTTAGATCCATGAATGAACCCCCGCCGCCACGGAGTCCCAAGATATAGTGCCAGTTCTTGGGAAGCGCTTTGCCGTGGTAAACATGGATGATGACGAATTTGATGCTGTTCCTTATGAACAAAGTCTGGCGGAGCTGACGCCTGAGATGTTGACAGCAACTAAAGATTGTATGAGCTGCCACATGTTGGCTTTCCAGCCTCAGGTCATTTCTTATGTGGCTCGTTGGCGTGCTTTGTTGCGCAGACCTCAGGGTGACAAAGTGATGAGCCACTTTCGTCGCTGCGCCGAAGCTGTTGCGAGGTTGTTGCCAACCCGAAGATCAGCCAGAGGGGGAACGGGTACACCCTGGTATCAACGAGTGCTACCCCGTTCATGAGCAGCCGATGCAGAAATAATGGTCGCCAAACAAATTCTTCATGGTCGCCGCGCTCCGAAGCTAATGCCTGGACTTGAGCCTGCGTGGGCCATTGCCCATCCATCGTCCGCATAGAATCCGAACCATTGCGCGTCTTGAAAAGCTGCTGGCGGATTGCCCTTGATGCGCCGTTTCATGAGCTGCAGACAAAGCTTCGAGTGGTCCGTGTGGCTTGAGTTGTGCTCGGTGTTGATTTTGCCCAGATTCTTTTCGGCTGCATGTGGCTCTGTGTGTGTGTGTGTAGTTAGTGGAGCACGTGATGGAACCCGGCCTGCTGTCCAGCATGTCGGAGCTGGTTTACTTCAGGAACTTGGCCAAGGCCATCTATCGGCATCCTCAGCAATATGCTTGCACCCACATCCCACAATCCCAAAGAAGACGGCGGGCCATGGCCTCGGTTTGCTTGCGGCAGTCCTCTAGACTCTAGACGAGTTGAGTTGGGTTGGTTTATGTTGGTTTGGTGAGGTGCGTACCTTTTATGACGTCGACGTGCCGAAGATGGTGGCTGACATCCGCCGCAAGGCCATGTGGAATGTGGCATGCCTCATTCGGAGGGATCCCCACGGTGGGTTTGAGTAGATGGATGCGACATGCAGCAGGCAGCCGTGGATCGTGAGCAGTTTTACTCTGTCGTGCAGGCCTGGTTGGCTGATGAAGCATATCACTCATGAGCTCAGCGACCCCTGTTTTGGTTGTCGTCGCATCAGATGAGCTGCAGGCAATTTCTGACGCGTTTGCGTTGTGCTGCTGCAGCCCGGCAGTGGACACAAGCGCGGAGCTCTTGGTCTGAGGCGGGTGAAGTGTCAGTCCCTTCGTTAGCCCACTGCTCGTCCCTGACTCAGCAGTGTTACAGTTTACAGCCCGGAGAGGACAGACCGCTCAAGCTTGCACAGAGCCCTTATTTCAGTCTTCGGGTAACCAGCATCATCTTCTGCATCTTTCGGGCAAGATGTTCCCCTGATCCTGACGCAGGGAAACGGCGATCTGTGTATCCATGTACGCAGGTGTCCGTAGCGATGAAGCCAGTGTTGAAGCTAGCATCACGAAGATGTTTGCTCTGCCCGTCCAACCGGAACCTTTCAAGAAACACTTGTACGAGTTTTCAAATACTGCAAGGTCTGCCTAGTGGAGCTAAACTGACTACTGCATTGGATGTTGCGAGAGCTTCCAGAAGAGCCTCTACGAGAAGCGAGATCATGGGCTGGGCCAAAGGTGGCGATGATGACTATGGTGATGGTCCTCAGTCGTTGTCATCACATCACAGTCTTCATGATCGCTGTTGTCGCCGTCATCATCATGGTCACCATCGTCATCATCATCCTTTGACCCTCACCGCCAGCGCCACGCGTAGAAGACAGATTTTCGCTTGGTTCAGGGGGGCGAGGGCGAGGGCTGGGCGGCTGAGCGGCTCGCGCAGTTCTGGATAGCCAAGGCGGGAGGAGCTGCCTGAGCAGAGTAAAGTTCCCAGGGTCACTGTTGCCGGAGGGTGGACAGATGCAACTACTGCGCGGGATGCTTTCTGGCATGCTTATCCCAGTGCGATTGAGGTGATCAATGCTATGGGCGATCATACTGCAGAAATATTGCAGCACATGAAGACGCAGGGCCGCAGGGCTGCCCTGTCTTGAACAACAGTCGCTGGAGCCGCGATGGTGCGATGGCTACGAACCGCTTCTTGTATTCTTGGCGCGTCTTCCAGCTGGTCAAGACTTTGAAGAAGTGACATGGTTCGAAGAAGCTACGTAGATGTAAGTAGCGAGGCTGCAGCACCAGGCAATCCGTAGACGCCGTTCGATGCCGTTCGTGCTTAGAGCATTGGGGCGATCGAGGGCCATACAGTGCCAGTGCATGGAAATGCTGCAATGCGGAAGCGAACTCAAGCGCCTGCTCGAAAGACGGTCTAGTCGTTTCTGGTGCCTTTTTTGTGAAGATCATGTTGATGCAGCCACCCCGCAAGGCCTAAAGTTTAAAAGGATTTCCAAAGTTCCTTCAGCCTCCATCGTTTATGATGCTTTGAAGGATGCGTTAGCCCCCTGAAGGACCCGGCCTGCCGGTTGTGTGCGCATGCATCTGGGAGTTTCCGAAAACAAGGGTATCTTAATTTTTTGGTCCTTTTATACTCAGGATCCTACTATTTAGGGTACTTGATTAGGGTCTCCTATTTCCGGAAACTCCCATCTGAGATCACATGGCCACCAGGCAAGGCCGTGGGCTCTCAGGGAGGCGCATGTTGGCGACATGGTATCCGCGAGTCCACGCATGCGACAGTCAGGAGCGGACAAAACACAGTTCGATTGTCCTTAACAAAAGATGCAGCCTTCAAAGCAGTGTGATGCCACAGAGTGGTCACCCCAGAATCAGTAACACACATCTCCGAGAAACATCGCAGTAATATCAGCTTGTATCAGCCAGGATAGCCACAGTTGTGCCCTAGTCGCATTCGGACCGGCCTCCTCCTTTGTCGACGAGGCCTTCTTTTCTTCTTCTTTGGTAGCCTGCGAGGCCGCCGCCCCGGCTCCCTGCAGCTTGCGTTAGCAGGTGCTGGTCAAGGCTTGCAAGCAGGCTAAATGCTTGGACGAATCACCCGCCCGTGGCTTCTGCAGACATGGGGCGGGCAGCGGGCAAAGTCGAGAAGATCGAAGAGCAGCTCTCTGCCCTGCAGGCTGCTTCCGACAAGACCTCCGTTGCGTTGCCGAGCCTAGCCCCTGCGAAGGACATCGAGGCCAGCCGCCTCTTTTTTCCCGAGGCCCCGGTTTTCGACCCGTGGGCCCCTTCTTGGGCGACCAGCTTCGTGCCTTCCTTCAGCCCGGGATTTCGCCGACCTCCCCTTCAACCCCTCTAGGGTAAGGTTTAGGTCCCGAAATAAGCAAGCCCGCCTGGAGCTTCTAGCTCTTCTTGATGCCTCCGACCGGCTGGCTCTGTCCCCAGCCGACGGCACCTCGGACGCGGGATCGACTCATA